AACAGGAAAAGTAACTTTCGTTATCATGGAATTATAACAAAACCTGCCAATTCAATATAAATGGAAAAAAAATATTATATGGAATTGAACGAAAATGAAAATTTGCTTGATAATTCAACTACGCTTGTTGGAGAACAATAAAAACACTACAGTCAACAAGCCACCAATAAAACTCAACTGCCTAACCTATAACCAAAGTCTCCTTTAATTGGAGAACAATAAAAACACTACACTCAACAAGCCACCAATAAAACTCAACTGCTTAACCTATAACCAAAGTCTCCTTTAATTTGTTTTAAAAAAAAAGCGCTTGACAAACTTGCCCCGTATGCCGAAGTTGCCCCGGTCTCCCCTAATTTAGAAACATAGAAAAATTTAATTTTGTATATTTCTTTGCAGGGAATTGAATGAACATGAAATAGGNTTGTGAGATCCACTGTGATTCACTGAGGGCTATCTCTCTGTGGCCCATCTTTCCTTATAAATACTTTAAGACAGGGCTTCTTAAACTTTTTTTATTCACGACCTCATTTATGATTGTGATTTTTTCTCGACCCAAAAAATATAAAATAAAGATATATACGAATTTGAAAAAACAATAATGGTGTACTACCACAGTTCACTCTTGTGTAACAATGGAAATGAGACAACTGAATACAATGAAAAGCGACAACACTACACTAGTTCACAGTAGTGTACTCTCGCTGCATCAGAAGTGACACAAAGCGCAACTCATGAAACCTATAACACAAAGCGAGCCATTTTCAAACTCTCGCAAATTATTTTCAATATTTTGCATTAAAATCTTGCGACCCCAAGATTTCGCTAAGAGACCTCAAATTGGGTCACGACCCATAGTTTAAGAAGCCCTGCTTTATGATTAATTAATTGTCTGATATTTTTTTTATCAATCATTACATTTGCGTGATACACACTCCCAAGTAACAACTGTAGAAAAGGAAATAGAAGAACACTCCACATCTGAAACAGCAACTATGCAGCATCCTGAGCTGTTATATGTCAATAAAATCTCTTCTTTGCAGTCTGAATTGTTAAAAGTCAAAGAGGATTTATATCGGTGCAGAAAGCAAAAGATGATCTATAGGAAGAAACTGAAAACTCTTCAAACAGAAAATCTCAAGCTTCATCAAAAAAATACTGAACTTAAAATAAGACAGTTGTTGGCTGATAAACTTGATTCCTTACTACCGAGACAGAAACTTGTAATAGAGCACATGCTAAAAGCATGCCATATAAAGAGCAAAAAGGGTATGAGATATGACATTAATTGGTTACTTGACTGTTTGCTTTTAAAAATTAGGTCGCCATCTGTCCATGAATTTTTGAGAAATAATGATCACTTGCCTTTACCCTGTCAGTCCACCTGCATCAATATATCAGAGGCATTAATGCCAAATTTGGATTTGATGAAGATCTTTTTGTTATTTTAAAGACAAAATTGGAGACTATTCCACAAACAGAATGCCAGGGAGTTTTAATTTTTGATGAAATCACACTTCAAAAACATATAGAACTTTCAAATGCTACCAGTGAAATGATTGGACTTGTTAATTGTGGTGACAATTCTGAATTGCCACAGAGTGAATTTACAGCAGGTGATCATGGCCTAGTGTTTATGTTCAGACCTCACTTTGCTAGTTGGGTACAATGTATTGGCACATTCTGTTCAAAAAGCTCTGTCCCAGGTTCTACTGTTGCAAAACTTATTTTGCAAGCAATTATTCATTTAGAACAGTGTGGTGCGATAGTCAATGCAATAGTTTGTGATGGTGCCAGCACAAACAAAGCAGCTTTAAAAGCTTTAGGAATTTGTGCAGACACAAATAATATACAATGCTCATTTACAAACCCTGCTGCAGATAGACAAGTACTGGCTATTATTGATGTACCACATATTTTAAAATGTATGCGAAACAATCTTTTGAAAAGTAGATACTTTCGGGTAAACTAAGAAAATAAAGTGTTTTCACCTAATTTATAATATAAGCCATTGCATTATTCTGCATTTTTACTTCTGGTTTCCTTAAGGAAGGATAGAATTGTAGCATTTTAAAGCAGTTGTTGATGAAGATTCCAAATTACCAAAGGGATTAAAGGCATGTCCCAAAGTGACAGAAATACATGTTAATCCCAATAACTTCCAGAGAATGAGTGTATTGCTGGCAGCTCAAGTAACACTTTTTTTACATATATAATCTTGACTTGATAAGAATACTTTTATTTATCTCATTTATTTGTAGTTATTTAGTAATACTTTTTCTGATGCTACGCTGTTTTCAGTGATGACATTCGAAATATTTAACAAAGGGTTCGCTAACAGAAAATTTTTCCTTAACAATTTTTTTTTCGCTCAAATGGTGCATCGGAAGCCTCTAGTTTAGTAGTGTTACAGAGTATAATACGTATATTTTAATATTTTTAAAAGAATCAAACCATTGAGAAATGTTACATGTGTTTAACAAGGTTCTGAAAACTTTGAAAATGTTAACAACGGGTTCGGCCGAACCTGTGCGAACCCGCTGAATATCACCACTGGCTGTTTTATAAACAGCATGAGGCTGCTATCCTAAATAATGCGGATGTTACAATGAGTTTCATATGTCACATCAATGCTCTTTTTGATGCTTTAAATCGTAGATTGCCACAGGAAGGAATCAGACATGATTCAAATGATCTCAAGGTAATAGTAATTATTCACTAGGAAAAACTATAAATGTTTTAATTAACAACTTTTTTAAAATAGGTTATTGAAGACTCTCTAGAATGGTTAAATAGATGGAAAGCATTCAGATTACAGATTAGAAGCACTGATCAAAAAGGATTTTTGAGCCACAAAACAGCAGAAAATCTACGCTCGACGCTGACTAGTATCTTAGCACTCGTCAAACAATTGCTTCCAAACTCATATTATATCCTGACAGCTCACTTTAATCAGGACCCATTAGAGGTAAAACTGACTTAGTGTAATGATTATATAATCTTGTTTTAAACTCTTAACTTATGTTTTCTTTTCAATTAGCGTTTCTTTGGAATGATAAGACAAGGAAGTGGAAGCAATTCTCATCCCACAACAGTACAGTTCTTATACCTGTACAGACTGATGACTGATGACTGTGTACAGTTTGGTTCGTCCTCCCAAACGAGCATCAGTGCAAACTGATCCTAAATCTATCCTTATTACTTTAAAAAATCTTCTTCATAGTCATAAAAAACCATTTAAAGAAGTTCAAGAACAATTGGAAGAACATTTAGAAAATTTGCTTTGTGATCCAAGTCTATACTATGGAGATCCTAGTGATAGTGAATTATTAGATCATGATTATTGTACACCAGAAACATTTAAGTTTATCCTACATTATTTAGG